TCCGGCCATTAACTTAAATGTAAATTTTTGTAAATTGTAATACTTATTAAACGCCAAAAAGATATAAAAAAAAAAAAAAAAAAAAAAAAAAACACATAATCTTGATGAATACAACTAACAGAAGAGTATAAAAGTGTTTGTAGCTTTCAAAAATCTTTCTAAATTTGCAAACACGAAAAAAATATATTTATAAACTAACATTCTTTTTCGTATTTTGTAAAAGTGTAGATATTTTTGTTTTTGAACTCGATTTTTCTATATCATGGCAACATTATCAGAAATTAAAAAAATGTTTAAAGAAATGTTCATGGACTTCAAAAAAAAAAATGCAAAATCAAACCGAAGCATTACTCAAACAACAAGAAAAAAACGTATTAGATATTATAAGCGGAAATACGAAAATAATTAACAATCGACTGGATAAAATTGAAAACATTCTAAATGAAAACGTAAGTAAAATTAAAATACTCGAGAAAGATGTTGCAGATGTTAAATTAAGTTTAAATTTTCAAGAAAACCTTATTGATCAAAAAGTTGCGGCTTGCCACAACAGCTTTGAAAAGGAATTAACTTGTTTACAACTCTTAAAGAATCAACAAAGAAACGTTGAAGATAGAACAAGAAGAGATAACTTAAGAATAGATGGGTTACCGGAAAATGATAAAGAAATTTGGTCACAAACGGAAGAAAAAGTAAAAATATTTCTTGAAAAAAATCTAGGTTTGTTGGGAATCGACATTGAACGTGCACGACATTGATCCTGACGTAAACATTCTTGACAATTATTCATTAGAAACTAACTATTTTAAAGTTCATGAGGTTACAAGTATTTTAAATAAATCACTACATTACATATCATTACTAAATATAAATATTAGAAGCATGAGCAAAAATTTTGAAAATCTAAAATTAATGCTAAATAATATAAGTATTAAATTCAGTATAATCTGTCTTACAGAAACCTGGTGTCAGAGTGAAGATATGAGTAACTCTAATTTGCATTTAACAGATTACAAGTCTGTTCACCAACCAAGAAAAAACGGTATTGGCGGAGGCGTATGCATATTTATTCACAACTCGTTGACGTATAAAAAAGTAGATAATCTAAGTGTGAATAACTCAAATTGCTAATCATTAACTATAGAGATAATAAACCAAAAAGAAAAAATTTCGTTTATAACAGTTTTATATCAACCACCTAATGGCAGTTACAATCAATTTGAAAATGACTTAAGGCGAATATTAACTCAAACCTCTAAAAAACATCTATACTTACTCGGAGACTTTAATTTAAACTTGATAAATTTAAACACTGATAACCACGTCAAAAATTTCATAAATACTCTTTCTCAATTTAGTGCTTACCCCATGATTAACAAACCGACGCGTGTAACTCGAAAAACATCATCTATCATTGACAATATTATCACTAATAATTATAGTAACTCGATAACCAACAGTGGTATAATAAAAACGGATATCAGTGACCATTTCCCTGTTTTTTTAACTACAAATACTAAATGCTGTATAAATAAAAAACCCATAACAGTATACATAAGGCATGTAAACAAAGGCTCGATTGCGATTTTTAGACAGCTTTTGCGTGAAATCAATTGGGAGTTATTGAATGATTGCAATGACACATGTAGCGCATACGATTTCTTTATCCGCGTCTTTACAAGGCAATATGAAAAGGCTTTTCCTAAAGTTCAGAAAACTATAAAATCCAAAAGTGTGCATAGCCCGTGTATGACTAAAGGTCTTTTAAGATCATCAAAAAAAAAAAAAAGCTTTACGAAAAATATTTAAAAAACAAAAACTTCAAAATAGTAATATAAAATGGCTCGAGTCTTATTTACAAAATTGTAAACAATGTGTGACGTATGATTTAACTTATACGCAGTTAGAAGTTATTAGTTGTGGTGTCCCTCAGGGCTCAATACTTGGTCCTCTGTTGTTTCTCTTATATATTAATGACATCCACTTATCCTCAAAATTCCTTAATTTTATTCTTTTTGCTGATGATACTAATATTTTCTTTTCGGGGTCTAATTTAAAATTTGTTTTTTCTACTGTAAACACAGAGCTAATTAATCTCAATGAATGGTTTAAAGCCAATAAACTGTCCGTAAACATTGATAAAACTAAATACATTCTGTTCACAAAACCTTCGAAAACTGATAACATACCCCTGAAACTTCCTGATTTATTTATAAACAACATTAAAGTAAAAAGAGTTCATTCAAAGAAAATCCTAGGTATAATATTTGACGATCATTTAAACTGGAAAATTCATATCCAATTTGTGGAAAACAACGTTTTAAAAGCTCTTGGGATCCTTTTCAAAACGAAGCACCTTTTGAATATAATGTGCTTGAAAAGCTTGTATTTTTCATTTATTCATAGTCACATTAGTTATTGCAATATAGCGTGGGCAAGTAATTATTCATCCTCTTTAAAAAAAATTAATACCAAACAAAAACAAGCGAGCCGGTTAATTTTGAATGCAGGTAGATATGCATGCGCCGAGCCTTTACTTAAAAAAATTAATGTTTTAAATATTTATAAACTAAACATCTATCAAAATCTGTTATTTATGTTTAAAATTTATAACAACATGCTTCCAACATATTTTCAGCCTCATTTCACCTTAATTAATCACAAATACTCTACAAGATATTCCATTAGCAATTTTCTCATACCTACAACATCCCTTAGAAAAACAGACTTCTCAATAACATGTCGAGGACCACGTTTGTGGAACTATTTCCTGAATAGAGACATGGAAAACATGACTTCAATTAAACTATTTAAAAGAGCCGTTAAACTATACTTATTAGATTTAAATAATAAAAACATTCTTTTGTATTTTTAAAAAAACATTTATATATTGATTTGTTAACACGTATATATGCTTGTGGCCTATGTATATTTTGTGAACTGCGATGTGTTGTATTATGTACAAAACTTGCAATATTTATAAAACTTATACAACGTATATTTTGAGAAGTTAATACGTAAAACTTAATATTTTCACGAACTTAGGAGCAGGGTGATAAGACACATTGTCTTCTGCTTGCTCCTGTCAGAATATAAATATTTAATTTTTAATTTTTACAAAAAACATTGTAAAATGATTGTTTATTGACGAAATATATATATATATATATATATATATATATATATATATATATATATATATATATATATATATATATATATATATATATATATATATAATAAATAATAGTAGAGGAAACTGCAAATGTAATTACTGAAAAAAGGAATGGGATTTCTAGTCAGTTACAAAAATGTTTAACTGATATTAAAAAAAAACTGGAAGAAACACAATTCATCGGATGTCAACATTATGTTCTTGAACAAGCCCTTTATGTAGTAATAGATAAAGAACTTTTGATAACAATATGTCGTCAGATATCAGAGAGCTGTTAATCATGGAACTTGTAAAGAACTACGAAACGGTCAGGACAAGTTTCAACAATTGTAAAAAAATGATTACTGAAATAGCAGGATGACGTCATGGTAACAATTTTTTTTTTTAATATAAATAGGGTATTTTGCTTTTTTGAAGAGTCTGGAGTATTTAATTAAATGAAGCTTGAGAAAATACCTAAATTAAATAAAGCAAGATTTCTAAGCAATACTAGCCTTTTTAATATTAATGCTTCTATCAGAGAGAAGGGACTCACTACTTGACATTGCAGATTCATCTGTATGGGCAGATGGGCGGATCATTGGTTTACTGACCAAATGTGCAACGTAGTTGGTTTATTGAACAAATGTACAATGCTATCAAAATAGCTTCCGATAATCAGCTTACGCAGTCACAAAAAACAGATAAACTCAGTAAAAGCTAAATATTTTTAATATACTTTGTTTTAATTTTCAAGTGTAAAACCAACGAATCTCCAGTTTCTTTTCATAGTCTATATATCTTAAAAGATTAAATTAAATATAACTTAAGAAATGATAATCTAATTCGGCAACCTTTATCTTTAACTAATTTTGGAAAGTCATGTATTTCATATCGAGGACCTTTTCTTTGGAACAAAAGAGTTTGATTTTTCCCATGTATGATATTATCTTTCATTCAAGAAAAAACTAAAAGAAATTGTTTTATTTTTTGAAGACATGTTTTTATATTATTAAATTCTTGTAAAAATGAATATGAAGTTTATTACATAAGTTAATATATAAGTATTATATCTGATCCACAACTTATGTGTTTATGAAAACAGTACTTTTTAAAATATTTTTGTATTTGTATATAAGAGTATCAAAAATTTCTTTATTCCAATTTTATTTATAGATTATGACGAAGTTAACGTTCTCGCTAGTGATTACTAATTTTTACTACAACATTGTTTTGTTTTTTTGATTTAATACTTCATGCTAAATGTACTTATTGTATAAATTATATTCAATATTCAAGGAAAGAACAAAAAAAAAAAAAAAAAAAAAATAAAATATTTAGTCTGACAAAGCATAATAGTTGTATATTACGCTTTAATTTGCCTGAATACTACACAACATTTTTTCGATATAACTCTAGCTTTTCGTACTCGTGGAACTGTTATTTAAGTCTCTAAAATTTATTTAATTATAAAATTTAATTTTATATATTTATTTTTGAGACTTGAAATCTAACAATGAACTGTTAAACGCCTAATAAATACATAACTATAGTCCATTAAAAAAAATTAGAATTCGAAAAAAACGCGACAATTAAATGGTTTAAAATTTTACCCATACGCGTATATAAATCTAACTTTTAATTTGTGGTTGAATTTTTTATATAAGATTCAAAGATACATAACGCATTACATTAAATATATAATATCTATTACAAAGCTCATAAATATATAATGTAATATATAATACAGTGTTAAATTTTTATAGAATAACTTAACATGCTCTTAAAGTTTAAATTAAGTTTTTACATATGTAAAATTGAGTAAATGAAAATGTTAAAAATATACCGAACCATGAATTTCCTTCATCTTTTGAAAAATAACATGCCACTTGTGTACTAAATTTAAAATTTAAAACTTTAGCATTTATAGTTCGATGAGGAAAAATTATTATTATATTAGCAGCCGTGGCGCAGTAGTTGCGCAATTGCCTCAGAAATAAAGGATTTGTGGTTCAAACCACACCTCTGGGCAAGTTTCAGAACATCGTTTGGGAAGGAGGCATTAACTTCCTATTAAATACTCATTTGCGGTGCTTTCTGATAAGAACGTAAGCACTTTTTGGGTCACCTAAAAAAATGTATAATAATGAAAAAAAATTGCAGCTCAAAACTATTGAGTGTTCCATTATTAAGCTGTAAACAATTAAG